GTAGAGAAGCAAAGTGATTGTTGCGTAAAGGTTTTACGTACACATAGAGGAGGAGAATTTTGTTCTAATGAATTTGCTAGCTTTTATGAGGAAAATGGTATTCACAGGGAACTCACTTCACCACATACGCTAGAACAAAATGGCATTTCTAAACGAAAGAATCAAACTGTGGTTGAAATGGCTAGAAGCATGATGAAAGCCAAAGGCCTTCCAAATCAGTTTTGGGCAGAAGCAGTAGCTATAGTAATATATCTGCTTAATCTTTCTCCCACAAAAGCAGTCCCTAACATGACACCTTATGAAGCATGGAGAGGTGTAAAGCCCCAGGTATGCCACTTAAAAGTTTTCAGTTGTATAGCCTATGCTTTGGTAAAATCATCTCGTCAAAAACTTGATGAAAAATCTGAAAAATGCATTTTTGTTGGTTATAGCCTGCAATCCAAAGCTTATAGGCTTATAATCCAGTTAGTGGCGAGATAATTATTAGTAGGGATGTTGTTTTTAATGAAGAAGTTAGTTGGAATTGGAGTAGCAAGGTAGATGAAAAATCTGTTTCTGTTCCAATAAGTTTTGAAGCAGGAAACTCTGAACCACATCAAACAGGTTTGGAGTTATCTACATCAAGTGGTAGTAGCTCACAAACACCACAGTCATCACCTTCCAGTGTAGTTAGAATTACATCTTCACCAGCAAGTTCATTCACCAGCTCCTCAAGTGAAACTCCTCCTAGAAAGGTTCGATCTTTACTAGAGATTTATGAATCTTGTAATTATGCTCTTTTTGTTTCATATCCTGAGTCTTATGGGATGTTGAAAACGAGCAAGTTTGGAAAAAAGCAATGATTGAAGAGATGAATTGTATCAAGAAGAATGATACGTGGGAGTTAGTTGATCTTTCAAAAGGCAAGAGAGCAATTGGGCTCAAGTGGGTGTTTCAAACCAAGTATAATGCTGATAATAGTGTGCAAAAGCACAAAGCACACTTAGTAGCTAAAAGCTATGCTTAACAAAAAGGTATTGATTTTGATGAAACCTCTTCTCTCGTAGCTCGTTTTGAAACAGCGAGTGTAACATCCCAAATTTTGGCTCATAGATACAAGTAATAGCACAAGGAAAGGATGATTACTAAGTCCAATGCAACAAAAGTCCCGGAGATCCCTCAGAAGGAAAAAGAGATTTTCTAAGGGCACATGTGTAAAACAATAGTATTCAGGGACTAAAGAATGATGAACTGAAAAAAACTAAGGGCCAAAGATTATGCCAGAAACTTGTAAGAAATGGTTCTGAAGGTTAGGCCTAAGGAGAGACCAAATTGCAAAAAAAACTTCCTAGGCCAAGTAGGGACCTAATTGTAAATAATAAAAGTTCTGATCGGCCAATGCTTAGAGTTAGCAAAAAGGGCCTAAATGACTTAGAAAAATTTTAGAAAAATGGGAATAGGATCCCAGAGCTGATATAAGGCTAGAAATGACAAAAATGCCCTGAAGTCATTCCAGGGTTTTGAGCAATTTGAGATAGTAACTTAAATTGAATTATTTAGGTTATGAGACGGCCTCAAATAATCAGGAAAAATTATGGAACAGTAGTTGAGGAATTTACACAGATTATAAAATTAATTCTGTCCCCAGAAACTAATGAGGTTAGCTTTAATTAAATTTAAAACCTATTTATACACTATCCGGAGAAATTCAAAATCACCGTCTAAGGTTTGACTTTTGGCTTAAGAAAAATTAGAGGAAATCCCCATGATGGAAGGGAAAGAATGAAACCTAGAGACAGATCGACGGAGTTATGAGCTAGTAGAAAAGAATTCGACAAAATCGACTCTAATTAAATATTATTCAATTAATTAAGTCACTAGGGAGAGAAGGATAGGATATTCCTTTCTCAATAAGTATACCATGAGAAGATTAAGAGTCAATGAAAGGTACATTGACAATGCTCAGAAACCCAGAAGGGAGCTGGACCGATAATGTCAGGTCCCTCAAGGGTCAAAATGGGAAATTTATGAAAAATTCTCAAAAATTCCCTAAAAAATGGAAAAAGGATAAATTAGGGGTTTTTGAGTTATATATGATATTTTGGGAGTGAAGATAACCCAAAATAAATTATTGCGACATTTCTCAAAAATAGTAATTTTTGAAGAAAATAGTAAAAATTGAGGAAATATAATTATTTTAATTATATAAGGGTCTCAATAATTCAAGGAAAAAGATGGGTAAGTTCCTTAAGAATATATATGAATTTATAAAATTTTTTCCAAGCATTGTAAATAAAGGAAATAATTTATGGGGAATTTACTTCTGAAATTCTATCGGTAAAAGCCTGATTTCAGAGAAAAATGTGAAATAAATAGTTAGAGGTTATGAAAAATCCACAAACTTTCTAGATTATACTTTTATATTAAATTTGGATTTTTCATGGAAAGAAATGAATTTTTGGAGGCCCCGACCTATTTTTCCTAATAAAGGCCTAAAAGGAGCAAATCGGGTAAAGGATTACGGTTGGGATTGAACTAGACTAATCCCATTGCTTCCTAACCAGATTTGGGGCATTTAGTTAGCCCAAAGAATCAGAGGATTTCGTACTCCCTAAGCCCATGCACATGGTCAAGTTGGTTTAGATAAGGTTTAACCATGACTTTGCAAAATATCTCAAGTAAGCTTGTGAAATAAGCTTGCATATGTGGCTGATTGTTTCCCTTCCACTTGGTCCAAAATTTTGAAGATGTTTTGGGCAGGAAAAGGCTGATTAATAGGAGAGAGGGAAGGCAGCACATGTGGCAAATTTCTTGGAGAAGAAATAAAGATCAATGGCTAGGATTAAATCGGAACCAACAGCCAGGATTTGTTCTAGCTTTCTATAAATACCCCTCCCCACCCTTCCATTTCGTCCAAGCACCTTGAAGCTATGGGGAAGCTCTTGTAAAATGGTGTCTAGAGAGAGAAAGAAGAGGGAGAAAGAAAGGCCAAGTGATCCCAAGCCAGATCAAGCTCTAAAACAAGGTGCGAGTGCCGTTTTTTATGTAGTTTCTACCTCCCTTGTTATTTGTGAGCTGGTGGTTGGTTTGATTGGATTTTTGATGATTGAAATCCTATAGGGAGGTGCTGCACGAAATTTATTGGAAAAGGAGAAGATGATATGGGTGTTAAAAGCATGTTTAAAGGCTTGGAAATAACAAGAATCAAGTGGTTCGGTGTTGATTTTACCAGAAATCCAACTTTCCCTTAGTTTGTGATTCTTTTAAGCCTTAACTGTTCTGAATGGTTAGGATTGGATTTTGATTGTTTTGAGCTTGGAAATGGATTCTCTATATAAAATTATGTGGGGATAGTATGTGGAGATAATTTTATGAAGGTTGGAATTGAAACTCAAAAGTTAAAGTTCAAGTATGTTCGAGAAAGAATTATGTAGAGATAAGTTGATGACTTGATTCTAATAATTGTTTTGCATCATATATTGATGTGTTTAGGACCTTGGAACATCCAAGAGGATGTTTAATGGTGTTGACCAAAAATCCATAGGGTTGGAAAGACAAGGGAATCAAAGGAAAAACAAGAGGAAAGCTATGTTACAAGATAGTGAACTTACCTATATTGTGTGCTTGATATGTATGCTTGCATGATGTGGTTGTGTTGCCATGATGTGACTGAGCTATGATGAAACATTTGCAAAGTTATATTTGCAAGTTTATGTTATGCTTTGCCTTGGTAATATGTTATGAAAGTATGAAATGCTTTAACTTACTTTCCTTGGCATTCATGGTAATATTATAACATGTCATGCATGTGTATTGTGTCTTGCATGCTTATGGGTAGTGTTTGCTACTGAGATTCTCCCGAATCTCACCCCTCCCTAACCAACTATTTAGGTCAATCAATGGTGGGCAACAATGGCATGAGAGGCAAGCAGAATAAAGTGAAGAATTATTGACGTTAATGAATGATGTTATTATTCAATGTGTAATTCTCCTATTATGTAATTTATGCTATGGATGGCAATGATGTCATGTATTTAATTACAATATTTATGGGGTGAATAGAAATTATGAGAATGATGGGGAAAGCGTAAACCCAATTTATGTATGCCAAAGAAATAGAAAGAATTAAAGTAAAAAGAGGTTAAGGGATAAAACGTAAGTCATTGAACAATGAGTTTATAGCTCTAGTTTGACCTATCAAATGAATGAGTTAAGCCACAAAATTTGACAGATTCATAGTACAAACCCCAAGCTTTAAAATGAGAGGTAGATCACCTCAATCAGATGTGTACACAAGGAGATATGATTTTTACAGAATTAGTTATGATTTTTCAAAATTGGACCTGAAATCTAAGTTTAAACAGTGAAAAGTAATTCGAGTAGTTATGTTGAAAATTTTTAATCCACGGGCTTGTATTTTGACCTTCTTGAACCATAACGCTTATGAATGCGTACTCTGAGGGGGTTAAAGATGGGATGTTTCAGTGAGAACTTTCCTAGCTTTTACTGCTCAACTTAAATGGCATGTATTTCAATTTGATGTTAAATCATCTTTTCTAAATAGTGAGTTGAAAGAGGAAGTATATGTTTCTCAACCTGAAGGTTTTGTTATTACTGGCCATGAAAGTAAAGTTTATAAGCTGAAAAAGGCCTTGTATGGGCTTAAGCAAGCCCCGCTGCGTGGTATCATAAAATTGACTCCTATTTTCATGAAAATGGATTTAAAAGGAGTGATTATGAGCCCACTCTTTATCTGAAATAGCATGGTGATTCTGATTTTTTTAGTGGTTTGCCTCTATGTTGATGATATGATTTATATGGGATCTTTTGAAAAGGTAATTAATGATTTTAAGTCAAGTATGATGCAGAAGTTTGAAATGTCTGATCTAGGATTATTGCATTATTTTCTTGGGATAGAAGTGAAGCAAAGCTCTAATGGTATTTTTATTTCTCAAAGAAAGTATGCTATGGATCTGCTCAAAAGGTTTCGTATGTTGGGATGTAATACAACACGTTCTCCTATGAATGTGAATGAAAAATTGAGAGCTGAAGATGGTACTAAACCTGCTAATGCAAGGTGGTATAGAAGCATGGTAGGTGGTTTGAACTACTTATCTAATACAAGGCCTGATATTGCACATTATGTGAGTGTAGTTTCCAGATTCATGCATAATCCCACAAAACGTCATTTTGGTACTGTCAAGAGAATCATTCGTTATGTTGCAAGCACTATTGATTTTGGAATTTGGTACTCAAAAATATCAAATATCAAATTATTTGGTTTTTCTGATAGTGATTGACAGGTTGTATTAATGATAGAAGAAGCACTTCGGGATATGTTTTTTCCCTTGGTTCAAGTGCTATTTCATGGAGCTCGAAGAAGCAAGACACTGTGGCTTTATCCTCATCTGAGGCTGAGTATGCAGCCATAACTTCAGCAACTTGTCAAGCTATGTGGCTTAGAAGATTATTGGCAAATTTTCTTTAACCATAACAAGATGCAACAGAGATTTATTGTGACAACAAATCAGCCATTGTGATGACAAAGAATGCAGCTTTTCATGGCAGAATAAAGCACATTGATATCCGGTACCACTTCATTCGTGATCTTATAGCAGATGGTGTTATTGCATTGAAGTATTGTGGAACAAAAGAGCAAGTTGCAGATATAATGACTAAGTCACTTTTGATTGGAAAAGTTGAAGATTTTAGAATACAAATGGGTGTCTGCTGCTTTGAAGCAGGGGGGAGTGTTAAATGATGCTTCACGTGCATCTAGCTGATTTATTTTATTATTATTTTATCAGTTGAATAAGTCAAGTTAGTTTCCCATATTCCTGCATGTAATCCGATTCTATATCCCCCACTTTCCCACTTTCATTGTTTTAATTATTATATTCAGTTTTTTGGTGTAGTGGACTCTAAGTCATTGCAGGCCTATATATAGGCTTCCATATTCATCAATAAAGTGTTGCATTTCAGTGCCTCTTTCCTCTTTCCAACACCAAATGTTTCAAAGGCATTCATTTCCTAGGGGCTTAGCATTGCCTGCTTCAATCTTCAATGTTGAATCACTGACAGAATTAGATTTGAGCTACTGCAATATTGTTGATGGGATCATTCCTAATGACCTCAGTGGCTTGTCATCATTGCAAATATTAGATTTGAGTGGACACGACTTTGTGAATCTACCTGGCGGTTGCATTTCTAATCTTTTGAATCTTCAGTCTCTTTATCTGAATTCATGCCCAAAGCTTCAATTTTTGCTGCAGCCTTCGCCATGTTTAAGTCTAATGGATGCAGGAGAATGTGGTTCATTGAGAACTTTGTCAGATGAAAAATTGTTACATCTCTTTGATTCAATTGAACAGGTATGTGCATATTTGTCTTTATATTTTCCATCCACAAATCCATGCATATCTTTTGTTGTTAATTATATACAATTTCTGGCATGATAAATTTCTTGGTTTTAGGATGGCCAACATGTTAAAGGATTAAGGAGAATTAGAACTTTTCAGTGACTATATCAGGGAGCGAAATGCCATCATGGTTTGAGAATCAGAATCATCTTCCTCTGAATGAGAAACATGTAGCTTCTCTAACCATAGACCCTTTTGAGAGATGTAATTTAGAGAATGAAAATTGTGTATTTTATTGATACTTCAATTGGGTATTTATATACAATAGAGGAGCCTAGGTATTAATGGCTCATTACTATGAAATCATATCATATCGTATCCTATATACTAATTATAGGATATTTACATATCTTATAATATCTCTACACTCCCCCTCAAGTTAGAGCATAGATGTCAATCATGCCCAACTTGTTACAAAGATATTCAACTTGAACCCCATTGAGAGCTTTGGTGAGAAGATCACCCAACTGGTCGCTAGATCTGACATGTCCTGTAGAGATGAAGTTTTCCTTGAGCTTGTCTTAGATGAAATGACAGTCAATCTCAATATGTTTCGTTCGTTCATGAAAGACCAAATTCAAAGCTATGTGTAGGGCTGCTTTATTATCACACCACAGCTTTGCTGGTAACGAGGTTTTAAAACCAACCTCTTTTAGTAGCTGGTATATCCAAACTATCTCGCATACAGATTGCGCCATGGCTCTGTATTCCGCTTCTGCACTCGATCGTGACACCACATTCTGTTTCTTACTTTTCCAGGACACCAAATTGCCTCTTACAAAAACATAGTATCCTGTAGTAGATTGTCTCGTGGCTTTCGACCCACCATGATCAGCATCACAAAAGCACTCAATGTCTGTGTGACTATGATTCTTGTACAATATCCCACGACCTGGGGATCCCTTCAAGTAGTGTAACACATGCTCTAAGGCTTCCTATTGTCAGACAGTTGGCGTAACCATAAATTGGCTAAGGACACTTATTGGATAGGTGATATCAGGATGGGTCACTGTAAGGTAATTCAACTTCCCAATCAGTCTCCTATACCTCTCTGGATTTTTAAATGGCTTGCTCTTAGCAGCCTCATCAGGATTTTCACATGGTATGCTACCATCAGCATCAAGCAGAGGATTATAGACCATAGGGAAGTTGGTCGGGGCAGCCCCTAGTTTCCCAGTTTCTTTTAGCAGGTCAAGAACATACTTTCTCTGAGTCAATAAGATCCTTTCTTGCTCCTCATGACTTCAATTCCCAGAAAATACTTCAATGAACCCAGATCCTTTGTTTAGAAATGTGAGTTAAGGAACGACTTGAGAGATGAGATCCCCGAGGCATTGTTTCTTGTAATCACAATGTCATCGACATACACAACCAGTAGGATCATGCTAGTACTTGTTCGCTGATAGAACACAGAATGATCACACTTACTCTGGTGCATGCCAAAGTTCTTCATAACAATACTAAATCTATCAAACCATGCTCGAGGACTTTGCTTTAAGCCATAGAGTGATTTCTTAAGGCGACACACCTTCCCATGCTCCCCTTGAGCAACAAAGCCTGGTGGTTGCTTCATGTACACTTCTTCAAGGAGATCACCGTTCAAGAATGCATTTTTGATATCTAATTGACAGAGATCCCAACTGTAGGTAGTGGCCATGGAGATGAACAGAAGAGAGCTTGGCCACGGGGGAAAAAGTCTCAGAGTAGTCAATACCATAATTTTAAGCATACCCTTTTGCGACAAGGCAAACCTTGAGGCGTTCAAGTGTACCATCCGCCTTAACTTTAGGGGTCAACACCCATTTACACCCAATAGCTTTCTTTCCTACTGGTAAATCGACTAAGGTCCATGTGCCAGCACAATGAAGGGCCGCCATCTTTTCTTCCATAGCAGTACCCCCACCCGAGTGGGACAAGGCTTCATAAGGGACTTAGGTACTAAAATAGTATCTAAAGAGGCAACAAAGGCACAAGAAAGAGAGGGGAGGTGGTTATATGAAACAAAGGAAGAAATAGAATGGGCATAAGTACGTTTACCTTTGTGAAGGGCAATGGGTAAATTAAGGGAGGGATCTGGATCTGGAACAGAGGTGTCTCAGAGTTAATTGAGGGATCGGCATCTAGACCTGGAACAGGGTCAAGCTCAGGGTGCATGATGCTTACTACAGGATCAAATGATGAAGCAGATAATGGTGGAGCAGAATATGGTGCAACAGTAGGAGTAGTTTCCTTCAAACGTCTGGTGTAGACCCGAGACAAAGGTGGTTGACCAGTTGCCAATACGGGAGCTGGTGCTGGTGGTAAACTAAGACTAACAGAATATACTAGAAAGGTATCCTCCTCTACCGGTGGAGAAGGTGAAGCGGAAGCATTAGATGCAAAGTAGGCAACAGATTCCTGAAAAGTGACATCGGCTAAACCAGATAACGATTAGGGTAGGAGAAAAACATCGATAACCCTTTTGAACTTAGAGTAGCCAAGAAAGACACATTTAAGAGACTTGGGGTCCAATTTGGAGACCGTGGGACGCACATCCCGAACAAAACAAACACAGCCAAAGATCTTAGGATCAATAGGGAACAAAGCTTTGGAAGGAAAGAGAGTGGTATAGGGAATGTTACCATCAAGGACAGAGGAGGGCATGCATTAATAAGAAAGCAAGCTGTGGAGACCGCATCTGCCCAAATGGTTTTGGAACCTGCATTTGAAATAAAAGTGCACAGGCCACTTCTAATAAGTGAAGATTTTTTCTTTCGGCAACACCATTCTGAGCCGGTGTATCCACACAGGAAGATTGATGAAGAATGCCGTGTTGAAGCATAAAAGAGCGAAAGGATTCAAAAAAATATTCTTTAGCATTATCACTGCACAAGGTGTGGACAAGCATATTTAATTGAGTTTTAATTTCGGCAACAAAAGTACAAAAGTGAGAGAAAAGCTCAGAACGATTTTTCATTAAATATAACCAAGTGGTACGGGAATAATCATCAACAAATGTGACAAAATATTTAAAACCACCTTTGGACTCAATTGGACACGGACCCCAAATATCAGAGTGCACTAACTCAAAAGGGGACGAAGCCCGTTTATTGACTCTAGACACTAACGGTAGACGATGATGTTTAGCAAACTGACACGACTCACAATCTAAAGACGACAAATGTTGAAACTGAGGATAAACCTTTTTTAAAGAGGATAAAGATAAATGACCCAAATGACAATGTGCTTCAAATGGAGTGACACCACCAGTACAAGCCACCGCACCAGACCCCTGATCATCAAGGAAGTAATGCTTGCCAGATTCGTAGCCCCTACCAATAATCTTCTTCGTCAAAAGATCCTGTATCAAGTAATGGTCAAGAAAAAGTGAGACCCAACAATTTAATTTGCGAGTAAGCTTGCTAGGAGACAAAAGGTTAAAAGCAAGATTCGGGACATTGAGTACAGATTTTAAATGAATAAAGGAGTAGGTTTAATAGTGCCAGATCCAAAGACACGAGAGTGGGAACCATCCGCAATGGTGATAGCAGAAGGGTTGGCATAAGAATTATAGCTAGAGAAGAGATGACGGTTACCTGTCATGTGGTCAGTAGCACCAGAGTCTATGATCCATTTGGAGGAAGAAGAGACAAGGGTAGTAGCCTCATTACCTGTTGCACTAGCAACACTCACAGGGGGATTTGTAGACTTCAATTGAGCATACTCGGCAGCTGAGATAGTAACCATATCATTGGCTGTTGTGACCACATGGGCAGAGCTCTGTCGTTGTTGTTTGTTTTGTAGCTTACAACATGTGCATTTAGTATGTCCCTGTTCCTTGCAGTAGTAACATATCACTTCCTTGGGCTCCTGATTACCACCTGCTGGTTTCAGACCACTACGACTAGGGAGCCCTCAATTGTCATTCTGGCCTCGACTGAGTAACGCGCTAGTAGGTGTAATAAGAGCTGAGGAAGGGTTTTGTTCAGTTCTTAATACACGAGAGAAAGCTTCTTCAAGAGAGGGGATTTCAGCTCCAGACAAAATTTGTGATCAAGCAGCCGCATACTGAGATGGCAGTGTAGTTAGAAAACTCATGGTGGCCATCTGCTCGTGGTGAGACACATTAACTTTCCTATCATCAGAAATAGGCATAAGAACATTGAGCTCTTCATAGGTGCTTTTAAAATCCATAAAGAAGTTTATGAGGGAATGGTCAACTGGCATCTCGAACCGATAAAATGATCTACAGACCTCGTAAATACGAGAGATGTTTTTCTTTTCTGAGTATAAGAGTGCCAAATAATCCATTAGCTCTTTAACAAATTCACAATGAGTAATAGAAGGCATGATCTTACTGTTA